GAAGAACAGGATGCATATAGAAGAAGTGGGCTGTAGTCCACGAAAGCTTATGCTCTAATAAATTTGTTAGTCTCTAAGGTGCCACAAGTACTCCTGTTCTTTTTTTGCGGATACAGACTAACACGGCTGCTACTCTGAAACCTGCCATTAAGAAAAGGAAAAATTAGATTTAATACTGGGAAAAAACTTTTCTTTCAGGCTTTTAAAAAGTCTACTAAAAGCAGGACAAGAACCCCATTACTTACAAGTCAGGAAGGCATTTAAAATGTCAAATATTAGGGACTATGCTAGAAGCAACAATCCTGCACAGTCAGGGAGACATGTGACTAGAGAGATGCTAGAGCAGGGGTGGGCAAACTACGGCCCGCGGGCCGGATCTGGTCTGCAAGCTGTTTTAAGACAGCCCGTAAGCCGCACCACGCGGCTCGGCCTTGCTCCAGTGCTCCGGCCAGGGAGCTGAGTCAGTGGCTGGATCAGTGGCTCGGCCCCGCTCCAGCCGGGGCACAGGGTTGGGGCCGCACCACGCGGCTCCCGGAAGCCACGGCATGGTCCTGCTCCAGCTCCTATGTGCTCCAATAGGAGCTGCAGGAGCAGTGCCTGTGGACGGGGCAGTGTGCAGAGCTGCCTGGCCGTGCCGCTGTGTAGGAGCCAGAGAAGGGACATGCCACTGCTTCCGGGAGCTGCTTGAGGTAAGCGCCACTTGGAGCCCGCATCCCCTGAGCCTCTCCCCATGCCCCAACCCCCGGCCCCAGCCCTGATCCCCATCCCGCTCTCCAAACCCCTCAATCCCAGCCTGGAGCACCCTCCTGCACCCCAAACTCCTCATCCCCAGCTCTACCCCAGAACCCGCACCCCCAGCCGGAACCTGCCCCCCCTTCCCGCACCCTTGATCCCCCTCCTGCCCTCCAAACCCCTCGGTCCCAGCCCAGAGCACCCTCCTACACTCCAAACTCCTCATCCCCAGCTCTACCCCAGAGCCCTCACCCCCTTCTGCACCCCAACCCTAATTTTGTGAGCATTCATGGCCCGTCATACAATTTTTAGTCCCCAATGTGGCCCTCGAGCCAAAAAGTTTGCCCACCCCTGTGTTAGAAGACTATAAGAGAGCTTCGGTGGTCTTTTCTTCCTCTTATGCCTATGACTTCTTCCCTCCCAAATTTGAGTGCATTATCCTGTCCTATCATGTGAGTCATTTGATAACCCAGAGGGAAGGGCTGAATTGCTTCCACAGCAAGAATTTTTGTGTGTGATGCCAATGCCATGACCTTTACTCATGGAAAACAAAGTACCAACGGCAAAAGCAGGATGGAGCTCCATCAAAAAATTAACGTAAACAACTACAAAGCCATGACTGTTCTACTCAAAAGCCAATTCACACCAGGTAGGAATCTGAGCAGTGGATGTTGCTAACATAGCAAATATGCTATCTTACATTTTGTTAGGCTAATTGCATTCCTCTAAAAGCATGATCTAATAAAAATTGCCAAACTGAATTTCAAGTAAGGGGAAAAAAAAGAAACAGAAAAAGAAAGGAAAAGAAAAAGCAATAACAGCTTATAAAAAGGGCTTTGTAGAAACATTCCCATTACAGGTGCATTGTCATGTTTAAAAAGAGGCTAGCGATTTTTTTGATTTACATGAAAATAAAAAACAGTTGCTCTACGAGAAAAGCTTCCACTTTGTTGTGGAAACAAACTCTCTCACTACGCCTTCACATCTCATCCTGGGGCAAGTTTGTAAATCACGCTTTTGCTCTTTGCAAAATTCTGTAATGTTAGTAGCAAACAGCTCTGATGCTGGTGCAAATGGCAGACATCTGATTTGGATTCAAATCTGCACTGTGCACTACTGGGGGAACACAGGTAGTTTTGCATCCCTTAAGTGGTGTGAAATTCATTAAATAAAGACTGAGGATGAAATCCTGGTCCCACTTACATCAGTGGGAGTGTTGCCATGGACTTCAATGGGGCTTGGATCTCATTCCAAATTTAAACCTGAGACACTGCCCAGGGGGAGGGTCCCAGAGCCCATGCTGTAGCGCAAGCCAAACGTCTACCACGAGCCCAAGTCAGCTGACCTTCACCAGCCACGGCTGTGCCACGGATTTTTTATCATAGCGTAGACATACCCTAGCAGCTACTGGATGAAGAACCTCCAAGGGATCACCATTATCAGCACCCCATTCTATTTAGGTCTATTTAGTAATTTATACTATGCTCATCACCATAGTACCTGAGGGCCTGCTGCACCAGATTATGCATGGTCAGTGCTGGGACCCATCGTTTGTGGATTGTAGAGAGTCCTGCAGAGCCCGTCTGCATACTTCCCCCAACAGAGCCACTGGTGTAGAGAGGGATTTACATGGGCCATTTACCAAGGTGAATATTACCCTTAATACTGCAGTTCTTTCACATGCAAAACTCCCTCCGCCCTCCCCCCTCCCCCGCGGGCTTTAACTGCTGTTCATTGTGTGAAATAATGACACCAGAATTAGGCCCATCAAGATTACATTATTTTGTTTAGCAAATGCCTACAGAAACTCTTGGCCTTTTCAGTCTTGTCTATTAATAGTACATTTAGACCTAGCTTGGAAAATGCGATTAATATGATAAAAGAGGAATTTAAGAATATATCAAATACTGGGAAGGAACTGACATTCCGAGTATTGTTATGAACACAGAAGTGGCGCTAGAGTTATGTTCCATTTTATTTGATTTGATTTAGTTAAAAAAAACCTAAAACAAAAACAATACATGTTTTGCTGATCTTGCAGCACCACTGAAGTAAAATGGGACTTTCATGTCAGCACCACAGGATTCAACTCAGGGTTATTGTGTGGTAGTTACCTAAAACTAGTGGGAAATTGCTTAAAATTGATATTAAAAAAATCTAGCATGAAGTGAAAAGAACAGGAGTACTTGTGGCACCTTAGAGACTAACAAATTTATTAGAGCATAAGCTTTCGTGGACTACAGCCCACTTCTTCGGATGCATCTTCCACTCTGTATGCATCTGAAGAAGTGGGCTGTAGTCCACGAAAGCGTTTGCGTCTGATAAATTTAGTTTGTCTCTAAGGTGCCACAAGTACTCCTGTT